TGCGTATGTACACCACAATTTCCTTAACCAGTCATCCGTCAATGGACATTTAGGTTGGTTCCAACTCTTGGCTATTGTGAATAGAACTGTGATGAATATGGAAGTGCAGGTATTCCTTTGCCATGGTGATTTCCATTCCTTTGGGTATATGTCCAGAAGTGGAATTGCTGGATCTTATGGTAGTTCTATCTGTAGTTGTTTCAAAAATCTCCATACTGTTTTCCATAAAGGCTGTACTATTTTACAGTCCCAGCAACAGTGGAGCAGGGTTCCCTTTTCTCCACATCCTTGCCAGCATTTGTTATTCTCAATCTTTTTAATACTGGCCAGTCTAATTGGGGTGAGATGATATCTCAGTGTGGTTTTGATTTGCATTTCCCTGATGATTAGTGATGTTGAGCATTTTTTCATGTACCCATTAGCCATTTGTATGTCTTGCTTCAAAAAATGTCTGTTCAGCTCCTTTGCCCATTTTTTAACTGGATTATTTGTTTGAGTTTCTTATATATTCTGGATACTAATCCTTTGTTCGATGTATAGTTTGCAAATATTTTCTCCCATTCCGTAGGCTATTTCCACTCATTTGATTGTTTCCTTCACTGTGCAAAAGCTTTTTAGTTTGATATAATCCCATTTGTTTATTTTTTCTTTTGTTGCTTGTGCTTTTGAGGTCTTATTCATAAAGTCTTTGCCCAGTCCTACTTACTGAAGTGTTTCCCCTATGTTTTCTTGTAGTAGATTTATGGTTTGGGGTCTTATACTTAAGTCTTTAATCCATTTTGAGTTGATTTTCATATATGGCAAGAGGTACAGGTCTAGTTTTATTCATTTTTCTGCATATAGATGACCAATTTTCCCAGCACCATTTACTGAAGAGGCATTCTTTTCCGCAATGTATGTTCTTGTTGCCTTTGTCAAAAATCAGTTGGCTATAAGTATATGGGTTGATTTCTGGATTTTCTATTCTGTTCCATTGGTCCAACTAAAAATAAATGGAAGGTATTACTATTATGTAGCATCAACTCTTCCATTTGGAAATAATAGTAAGCTATTGAAAGCTTAAGCTTTTCTGAAATAAATTAGGACAGCATAAATGAGAACAGGCCCAGAAGAAAATTGTCCTTTTTTCTATTTTATTTGGTTTTCTTGAGAAACCTTGTGAAGACAGTCATGTGCTACTTGTTTATAGGAGCAACTGCTTGCTTATAGGAGGGTGACTGTGAAGGATGGCGTTGAAGAACATAAGAAGAGTTTCTCAGGTCAGCATGTATTGTATTGGTTTCAGTGATATCTAAAAATTGTTTTCAATGTTTCCTATTTTATTCATTCGAATGCACCTTCAGATTGAATGCCAGCTGAGTGAGTACTCGACACTGTATCCAGTTCATCAGAGTTTGCTAGCATGGAATTTAGTCCTTGGTAGTTTCATGGAATTTTTTTCACGTAGGTCTGGAAGAGTGTGATTTTATTAGCCACTGTCTTATGCTATCTTTTCTTCACTTTAAGAACTGTATGTTTCTCTCTATCTCTATCTACCCCTTTCTTTTTGCAAGAGTATAAATCCATTTAATTGTTGAGATCTGTGTTTTCAGTCTTGAGATGGCCTGATGTAGTCAAAACATGTTGGACTTTGAATCTTCTGGAACTAGGTTTTAATCATTGTTTTGACAGTCAGTTGCTTACTGTGTACACTTAGGGAGTTGCCTAATTTCCCAGAGCTTTAGTATCTTTATCTCTAAAATTGATATAACAGTAGTCCCTTTGACCTTACTTGACACCTCCCTAGCTGTTCTCTATCATCACCAATATAATCTCCTAAAGGAATATTCTACATTCAGTGCCACCACTTCCTCTTTTCCCAGTCACTCCTCAACCCCATACTCTGGCTTCTATTTTCTTTATTCTAATACTGTTCTGGCTAAAATCACTGATAATCTCTTAATTGTCAAATGGAGTGTTTTTAGTTGTTATCTTACTGGGATGCTGTGATGTATTAAGCATTTGTCTGTCATGTCTACCTTATTACCTTGGTCCTCTCTGATCCATTTTTGTTAATTCTTACATGCTCCTTTCTCTAGCCATCTCTCTCAAGTGCTATGGCCCACTCTACCTTTCATCCTGCAAACTCTTCCTAGAAGATCCCATCTACATATTTTTTTTTTTTGGTTTGGTCATTTATTCCTTAAATAATAATCACATGTATTAATAGAGTGTAAGGAGTTTGGAAAATACTAACATGAGTACATCATGATCACAAATCAGACCAGTAGTCTGAAGGGTAGACTATTGGTCTGATCTGTGATCAGTGCAAGGCAGCACACAATTTAAACATTGCTTATATATGAATTAGAATATATTATAAATTTTCCCTTATTGATTTATTTTATTAATAAAGATAGCTTTTACCTTAGTAAGATTAGTTTGCATAGTTGAGAATAAATGACAACATGGAGAGGCAGCAAAGAACTTCCTAGTTACAATTATTTTTGAAAATGGTATGGAGGTTCCTCAAACAGTTGCAGATAGATCTACCATATGACCCAGCTATCCGACTGCTGGGAATATATCCAAAGGAATGGAAATCATCAAGTCGAAGGTATACCTGTTCCCCAATGTTCATTGCAGCACTCTTCACAATAGCCAAGAGCTGGAATCAGCCCAAATGTCCATCATCGGATGAGTGGATACGGAAAATGTGGTATATCTACACAATGGAATACTACTCAGCTATAAAAACGAATGAAATACTACCATTTGCAACAACATGGATGGACCTTGAAAGAATAATATTAAGTGAAACGAGTCAGGCAGAGAAAAAGAAATACCACATGTTCTCACTTATTGGTGGGAGCTAAAAAAATAAACAAATTAAAAAAACGGGGGGGGGGGGGAAGATATAACAACCACAATTTTTTTGAAGTTCTTACAACAAGCAAATGGAAAGGACATGCTTGGGGGGGATGGGAGAGAGGGAGGAGGGCGGGAGGTGTCGGTGAAGGGCCATAATAATCATATACATTGTATATTGACAAAATAAAAATAATAAAAAATAAATAAGGGGAAAATAAGCATATGATAAAATTTTTACTGTCATCACTACTTCCCTTAATACATCAAACTATAATGATCCTTTTTGTACCTATCTTTGTGTCTAAGTAGTGCTTTGCTTGGGGCCTGTGTCTTATTTATTCTTCTGTCTCCAGTATTCAGGCAGTGTCTAACATGTAGTTCCCTCATCTTTTCCCATGTTCCTAATCTCAGAGTTTTCCCTTTAAAATAAAAATCCTGTATAGCTCCGTGATGCTGTAATTAGGACCAACTGTATTCAGGTATTTAGCACATTTTGTAATGGTACCAATTTACATATTTATTTGCTTTAAAAATATCTCACTGAAACTTCACACAAATCCATAGGTTATCTTAAAGTTATTAGGCAGGAAGTCCCTGAACTTCTTACACTCTATAAATCTACCTGCATCAGCACCTATCTTCTCCTTCTCTCCTTTTTCAATAGAGGTATAAGGTTCTTATCCACATTAAATATCTTCAAGTTTCTAATATCATAAAGAAAAACGAACTCTTTCAGTGCCATATTCTCTAGGTATCCTCTTATTTCTCTCTTCTCTTGTATAGATGACCGCTTTGAAGACTTCTAAACTCATTCAGTGCTGGCTTATTGCCATCACTGTGAGAACATCTGTTATGAATGTTACTGGTGACCCTCATGTTGCTATATACAGTGAGAACATTTCAGCCCTCATTGATATACATATACCAGTGGAGAATGAGAGAAAAAGAAAATAATAGGGAGAGGCCTCAAGTTATCTCAAGTTGCTTTAAGGAAGTTTGAGAATATAATGAGGACATGTATAGTCTGGTACTAGACCCTATCTGGAACCAGGCTGCTTTTAACACTGACTCTTTTCCTTGCTCAATGGCTACATAATCTCTGTTATGGGACTTTGCTTCCTTTTGCTCATCTGTTCTAACCCTATTTCTCTTTTCTCTACTTGCTTATAATTTATTTTCTCTCATAATTTCAGCTGGAATTTAGCCCATTATGGCCTCTTGTCTCCCTCCTTGATATAATCAAGACCTCTTAATTTCTGCCAATTGCCTCATTTTGTTGATATTCCTTACTTAAAATTGTAGAGAGTTAATCTTTTTAGTTCAGTTCATCATTTGTTTCAGGCCATTTCATAGGTAATGAAAGCGGACTTAATCTATAGACTGGTCAATCACTTATGAATTGCCTTGGGTAATCTTGGAAAAGACAGTTTCAAGAGTGTATAATCCAGTGTGTATTTCTACTTTTGGATTTGGGTAAAGTCCAAATGATGCTGGATTAAGGAGTATATTGCAGGTGGCGAAGCAAAGGTAAGGAGCCTGTGTCCGAAGAGGATGACATATTAATAAGGAACACAGAATCAAGGAAACCAAAGAAAGCTGTGGGGATTTTGTTGTTGTTTAGTTTTTTAAGATGGTAGAGGTTTGAACATAGGAGTCAGTGAATAAAGAGTGAAACTAAAAGGACATTTAACTTTTAAATTATTGAAGTAGTGTTAAGGTGGCAGAAGATGGGATTCACAGTACAGGAAGATAGATTAGCCTTGCATAGGAAGAAGGATATCTCTCCCTCTGAAATAGGGTTAAGAAAGAAAGGAAAAGTGTGATGCAGATAAATTTGAATGTAGGGGAACCTGCCTGTTAGCTTACTTCATGAAATAGGCTGCAAGGAGAACTGCTGAGAATAGAGGTAAACGTTTCCAGTAATTGCTGAGGAAAACTCAAATAGGTACCTAACAACTAGGAATATGATGAAGTGATTTTTTTTCACTGTAGCCCATATATAGGTTGAGGAAAAGAGGATGATTGGACTAGTCCAGAGTTAAAATGGACTTAACTTGTGACGTGGTAGGAGTTTATGCTTGCTTTTTCCCTTTCTATTTGTTTGGTTCAATCATTTTTTCATTCTGGTCTTTCATACTTTTGTTTTGTAGGTCTTGATGACTGTTTGCAGCAATATATTAAGAACTTTGAGAGGGAGAAGATCAGTGGGGACCAGCTGCTTCGTATTACACATCAAGAGCTAGAAGATCTGGGGGTCAGTCGCATTGGTCATCAGGAACTGATCTTGGAAGCAGTTGATCTTCTGTGTGCACTGGTAAGGACATAAAACTGGTGGGAAGAGAAACGTTTTTTTTTTTTCAGTTCCTCTCCTCCTTTTCCTTCTCTGCTTTTAATAATTTAAATATGAGCAGGGGGAATAAATCCCCCTAATTATCAATCATCTGGATATGTTATTTTCCTCCTTTCTTGAATTTGTTATATTAGTTCCAAAGGACAAATTAAAGAGGCTTATAACTCAACTGGTGACATTACAGTTAGCTACTTGCAAAACATAAGTTAGAGCTCACTAAGGAAGTTTTCACAGCAACATTTGAGGTATATAATTATATACAATCAGTTATAAAGTCCATTCCCTTCTAAAAGTTTTGACTTAGTATCACAAATACTAAATAATCCTACTTTAGAAAAATCATCCTTGTTCCAGTCAAGATGGTAGAGTAGTTGGTTCCTGGTGTCGCTCTCTCCCACAGAGCGACCAATTTGCAGCTATTGAGGATCAGCAACAGAGGACCCGAGATCTGTGCTGGAGCGGACAGGAGCCACCCACCATGGGACCCCAGTTCAAGTTGCTCCCCATCCCCTAGAGAGACTTTAGAGCTTCTAGGCCCACATGCCCCAAGCCTGCGGGGCTGGAGAAGGCAGGCGGGGCGGGGCTTATGGCCCAGGTTGGTCCCACCACTGGAAGAGACCTAACAGCCTCGGGGCTCCCACACCCTGAGCCAGCTGAGCCAGAGAAGGCAGGCAGGGTGGGACTTCTGGCCCAGGCTGGTCGCCATATCCGAGAGTGACTTAACAGGCTCTGAGCCCCCTCACCCTGAGCCAGACAAGCCAGAGAAGGCAGGCAGGGTAGGACTTCCAGCCCAGGCTGGTCCTAACCTCTGGGAATGACTTAAGAGGCTCGGAGTCCCCAAACCCTGAGCCAGCTCAGCTGGAGAAGGCAGGCAGGATGGGACTTCCAGCCTAGGCTAGCTTCTGCTGCCCAGAAGTGGCAGTCCCTTTAGGATCCAACCCAGACATCAGGGTGAAATGAGTGGATTGTGATACCCCCAATCACAATGACAAAACTCTAGAGGAAAGATACCAGAAATATGAAAAATCAAGAATGTACATCACCACCAAAGGAAATTAATAACTCAAGCACTAGATCCTATAGAACAAGGAAGTCTTTGAAATGACAGACAAGGAATTTAGAGTAACTATTCAAAGGAAACTAAATGAGATACAAGAAAACTTAGTTAGACAACACAATGAAATGAGAAAAAGTATAATGGATCTGAAAGAAGAAATGTACAAAGAAATCAATGTCATGAAAAAGAATGTAGCTGAGCTTGTGGAGCTGAAGGATCATTCAACGAAATGTAAAACACAACAGAGAGTTTAACCAGCAGACTTGAACAAGCAGAAGAGAGAATTTCTGACCTTGTAAACAGGCTGTTTGAATTAACGCAGGCAGACCAGAAAAATGAAAAAAGAATCAAAAAAATTGAAGAAAATCTAACAGAGACAACTAACAACCTTAAGCACTCAAATCTCTGAATTATGGGTATTCCAGAAGAGGAGGAAAAAGGAAATGGCATTGAAAACATATTCAATGAAATAATAGCAAAAACTTCCCAGATATAGGGAAAGTCACAGATCTACAGATTCAGGAAGCCCAAAGATCACCCAACTCTTTCAACCCAAAAAGTCCTCTCCAAGACATGTGATAACCAAATTGACAAAACTCAAAGACAAAGGGAGAATCTTAAAAGTTGCAAGAGAGAAGCGGCAAGTCACATATAAGGGAAACACAGTCAGAATAACATCAGACTTTTCATCAGACACCCTAAAAGCCAGAAAAGAATTGGATGATATAATCAAAACACTAAATGGAAAATATTGCCAGCCAAGGATACTTTATCCCCAGCAAGGCTATCCTTCTGAAATGGAGGACAAATAGTATATTTCTTAGACAAACAAAAACTTTGGGAGTTCACTACCACACGACCAGCCCTACAAGAAATTCTCAAGGAAGTACTGGGTTTAATACCACACAACCATCACTAGCATGAATATGCAAGAAAGAACAATACCTACCAGCAAAACAAAAGTGCTAACAAAAGAAAAAAAAGTAGTTTAGCTATCACCCCAAGAAACCAACAGATACAGAAGACAAACAGAAAATTAGAAAAAAGGAACAAAAGATATTCAAGACATCTAAACAAAAATTGGTAAAATGCTAGGAATAAACCAGCACCTTTCAATAATAACTCTAAAGGTAAAGGGATTAAATTCCCCATTCAAAAGACACAGACTGACAGACTGGATTAAAAAGATGGACCCAACCATATGCTGTCTTCAGGAGACTTACTGGACCTGTAAAGACACACATAGACTAAGAGTGAAAGGATGGAAAAAGATATATCATGCAAACAGAAATGAAAAACGAGCTGGAGTAGCTATTATTATATCAGATAAAATAGACTTTAAAGCAAAAACCATAAAGAGATAAAGAAGGCCACTATATAATGATAAAGGGATCTATCAATCAAGAAGAGATAACAATCTTAAATATATACACACCTAATGTTGGAGCAGCCACATTTACAAAGCAAACACTATTAGATATAAAGAAAGAGACAGACACTAACACCATAATAGCAGGGGACCTGAACACCCAACTCTCATCATTGGACAGATCATCTAGGCAAAAATCAACAGAGAAACACAAGCTCTAAATGATACTTTAGAACAATTGGATTTGGCAGATATCTATAGAACATTCCATCCAACAACCTCAGAATATTTATTCTTCCCATCAGCACATGGAACATTCTCCAGGATAGACCACATGTTAGGTCACAAAGCAAGTCTTAACAAATTCAAAAAAATTGGAATAATTCCATGTATTTTTTCTAATCATAAAATTAGAAATCAATAATAAACAAAACTCTGAAACTATACAAACATATGGAAATTAAACTACATTCTATTTAATGACATGTGGGTCTAAGAATAAATTAAACAGGAAATCAAAAAATTTCTTGAAACTAATGAAAATAATGACACATCATACCAAAACCTGTGGGATACTGCAAAAGCAGTTTTAAGGGGGAAATTTATTGCATTAAATGCTTACTTCAGAAGAATGGGAAGATGGCAAATAAATAACCTAAAACTTCACCATAAAGATCTGGAAAACCAAGAACAATCCAAACCAAAAGTTAGTATATGGAAAGAAATAATTAAGATCAGAGCAGACCTAAATTAAATAGAAACACCATAAACAATACAAAAGATCAATGAAACAAAAAGTTGGTTATGTGAAAAGATAAAGTCAACAAACCTTTAGCAACATTAACTAAGAGAAGAAGAGAAAAGACCCAAATAACAAAAATGAAAAATGTGATATTACAACTGACACCTCAGAAATAAAAGGAATCATTAGAGACTACTATAAACATCTATGTGCCAACAAATTTGAAAATCTGGAGGAAATGGATAAATTTCTGGACACACACAAACTACCAAAACTGAGCCAAGAAGATATAGAATATCTGAACAGACCAATAACAATAAAAGAGATTGAAGCTGTTATCAGAAGGCTCCCAACAAAGCCCAAGACCAGACAGGTTCACTGCAGAGTGAACTGCATAGGAACTGATACCAATTCTCTACAAACTGTTCCAAAAGACTGAAACACAGGCCATTCTGCCAAACTCATTCTGTGATGCAAACATCACCCTGATACCAAAACCAGACAAAGATGCATCCAAAATAGAAAACTACAGACCAATATCCTTGAATATTGATCCAAAAATCCTCAGTAAAATACTAGCTAACAGAATACAGCAGCACATACAGAAAATTATACACCATGATCAAGTGGGATTCATCCCAGGGATGCAAGGTTGGTTCAACATACGCAAATCAATAAATGTGATACACCATGTTAATAAAAGCAAAGACAAAAACCATCATGTCTACTGACGCTGAAAAAGCATTTGACAAAATTCAACATCGTTTCATGATAAAGACTATCTACAAGTTAGGCATAGATGGAATGTATCTCAACATAATTAAAGCCATATATGATAAGTACACTACCAATATCGTCCTGAACAGGAACTAGACAAGGATGCCCATTCTCACCCCTCCTATTCAACATAGTGTTGGACGTACTAGCCAGAGCAATCAGAGAAGAGAAGGAAATAAAGGGCATACAGATTGGAAAGGATGAAGTCAAGCTGTTCTTTTTTTGCAGATGATATGATCTTATATGTTGAACAGCCTAAAGCTTCTAAAAAAAATTCTAGAGTTGATAAATGATTTCAGCAACGTTGCAGGATACAAAATCAACACACAAAAATCAGCAGCATTTCTATACTCCATGAACATGTGGAAAAATAAATCCAGAAATGTAGCCCAATTACAATAGCCACCAAAAAAATAAAATACTTAGGAATAGAGCTGACAAACGATGTGAAAAATCTCTATGAAGAGAGCCCCAAACCACTGTTGAGAGAAATTAAAGAGGACACAAGAAGATGGAAAGATATCCCTTGCTCTTGGATTAGAAGAATTAACATTGTGAAAATGTCCATATTACCCAAAGTGATCTACAGATTCAATGCAATCCCCATCAAAATTACAATGACATTTTTCTTTGAGATGGAAAAATGTATCCAGACATTTATATGGAACAACAAAAGACCACGCATAACCTAAGCAATCCTCTGCAAAAAAAAAATAGTAATAATAAAATAAAGCTGGAGGCATAACACTACCTGACTTTAAACTATGTTACAAAGCTATAATAAACAAAAAACCATGGTACTGGCATAAAAACAGACACACAGCTTAATGGAATAGAATAGAGAACCCAGAAATCAATCCATATGCCTAAAGCCACCTGATCTTTGACAAAGGCAGCAAATCTACATACTGGGGCGGAGACTGCCTTTTCAACAAGTGGTGCTGGGAAAACTGGATACTCATATGTAGGAGAATGAAACTAGACCCATACCTTTCACCATATACCAAAATCAACTCAAA